TATATATATATATATATATATATATGCGTGCGTGCGTGCGCGCGCGCACACACACACACACACGCACACAAATAAAGGGCAGTTGGTCTCACTGATCGATTGAGCCACGCGTCGCTCTGACATCTGAGAAGGCCTCAAGACGAATGAGCTGACCGACGAGGGAAGAGAACAGAGAAGAAGAGGAGCAAAAGCAAAACCCAGTCAACCTCTGAGGTTTTGTGTGACTGTTTCTTTCATTCAAAACAAACTTTCCCCCTGAGATCAATTAGATTTGGAATACTTAATTCCACACTGAAAACTGCTGCCACGAAAAAGCCTTTACTAACAGTGCTATAATTAGCATTTGGCTCAGAGTCCTATCAAGCCAACAGCATGAGGCATGAAAGGGTTTTGTCCATTTTTATCAAATATTTCTTTTTTTCATTGAAAAAAAATTGACTGATTGCTGATGATTTTTTAAATTTTCAAATGTACATGCATTAACGTGCATGGCAGGTTAATGGGAAGACTCTAAATTGTCCCTCGGTGTGAGTGTGAGCGCGGATGGTTGTTCGTCGATGTGTGCCCCTGTGATTGGCTGGCAACTACTTCAGGGTGTACCCCACCTACAACCCGAAGAGAGCTAGGATTGGCTCGCGCCCCTCGTGAGGATAAACCGATTAGAAATTGGATAGATGAAATCTGCTAGCCAGACACTTTTGCTCTGTACAGCCCTGAAAAAAAAAAAACAACCAAAAACCGAATTATCACCTCTCTGCTGACATTCCGGCACTACCCGCTTGTCACTGCACGCACACACACACTCGGGATTGTGACGGTGGTGTACTGAAAAGGGCACATCGACCACTAATTGGAACCGTGCCCGTTCTGAGCTTGAGGCTAATTAGCAGTGTATCAGCAGGACGTGAGCCACATACGAATGCGGCAATAAAAGCATACTTTCTTTGCAGTTTTTCACGCTTCAGCCAGTACCTAGCTCACGATGCTGATCACAAAGTGATATACAGTAATCACTCTCCGGAGTAGTCAGAAATGGTTTCAATTTTGCATGCGATTACAAAAACGAGCAATCACTCAAACTCATGATGTCGTTTGTCAGGTACTCTATTCGTTGGAAAAAAAAACAAAAAACATTTTTACATTGTACGCGTAGAGCGCCATGAAGTACAATTCTATTTTTTTCATAGTTTCCCCACTTTAATGTTTAAGATCATCAGACTAATGCAAAGACCCGACAAAGATAACTTCAGTAACAATAAGATTCCATTTTTAAATACTCATTTCAAAACTTTTCAAAGCCTGACCGTGTTTGGAAAAAATACTTTCCCCCTTATTAAATTTAATGGAGTCACACTTTTTCAATTCGTTTTCATTGACCACACCCAAGCCGGATTACCCCCCAGACCTGCTCAATCAAGAAATCCCCTAAATGCATCCTGCCTGTCAAAATGATGTCGGCCCAAAGATCTCAAAAAGCAGCAACAAAAAGCCATGACCCAAAGAAAAACTAATTGACCATCTCTCCGTCTGGAAATGGTTACAAAGTCATTCCCAAATCTTCAGGACTTTCGCAAATCATGATGAGAACCATTTATTTACCAATAGTGCAAGCATGGAACAGTGACAAACCTCCCCAGGAGTGGCCACTTCCCAGAAAGACAAAAACGGTGCCAGCTTTCGGTCTGGTTTTGCACTAATGCAACCTCATTTGTGCCTGTTGAGTTTGTGAAGAGCTTTAATGGACTGTCAAGTATTTCTTCCGTGTCTGTTCAAAACATATACCCCGATGAGTTCCAGGGACCAAAAAAACATGGGTGTGGGCCTTTGTTTGTGTGGGGGGGGGGACGTCTGTAGGTTGTGATTGCATCACGACCCTCGTCGCACTTTGAAATGTGCTGGAACAAGCACTGTTCCAGAAGAGCCGTTTAGTCTATCATTAGATGTTGCTGGGAGGCTCTCCACAGGACTTGCGATTCATTTTTTTGCAGTGTTTAAATTTCAAACTCCTTTCTCTTGTCTTTCGTCGCTTTCCCCTCCCCGCGACAATAACCTAGCATTTCATTTGTAATTATTCATGATGTAATTATTTCATTGCGTTGTGTCTTCTCAGGCATTTGCTGCTCAGTGGCCTGCGTCACTGACCCTAAGGTGGTCGGGTGGGCTTTTGAAAACGGGGCCTCAAAGTGATCCTTGACTGCGGCACCGCCGCATGTAGCGTATCAGTCAACATCGTCAGTGTGATGCGAATGCCGCTCTCCTGCAATATCAATATCACAGTGTTGCGCGACACCGGGATGATTGTTTTTCCCACGCAGACTACAAACTGAGTTACATTTTAATCTCGCCTCGCAATCTAACGGCGCTGACTTAAAGTGCATCGAGATGAAATGAAGTGTTACATTCCCACTTTGGTGACGCAAGCACATCTGACATAGAAGTAACTCAATGCTGCGCAGCGTTGTTTATTGTGAATAAAACAAATGCAATTACTCTGAAGAAGTGGTGGGGGGGGGGGGAGAATTGGTGCACCTGAGGGACTTGGACTTAACCACAACAGCTTTTCATGAACTGTTGAATCACAGATAAGCTGTTCTTTAATTGAGTGGGATGCCGCTCCTGCTTATTTGCTCATACAGTCCTTGATAATCTGCTCACTAAGTGTTTATCTGTGCTTGCTTAATTCACTAGCAATCCTCCGTGGTCATTTAATGGATGTTTTGAAATGGTAAGAAAGTCACCAATGAGTGCTCTCCGCATCTAACTTTGATCATTAGCTTGTGTAAGTCAACACATCGGATGAAAATCATGACAGCGATGGAAGAAGTAGCCGTGATTAAATAAAAGCCAGTCGTACAAAAATACGGTGTTATTTGAATATACGCAAATGAATGCAAATGAAAATAATGAAAAAAAAAAGACATTTAAAAAAGGCTCACTACTGTATACACTTCATGCGATGAAAGAGCATAAGATAATCTAATGTACTGATAAATTGTTCACGGAAATAATACAAAAAAAAAGATTCAAAAGTTACACATCACTAATATTCTATGACTGAGAGAAGTGGCTAAATATGATATATTTAACAGAGGCAAAAGTGCGGGAAATATGCCATCAGCATGGTTTTAAGGATGGCTTTTTGCATCTACATGTAGAAACTTCAATTTAAATCAAGTATAGTGTACATTAGACACATATTTTAATCTTGAAAAAAGTTAAAGTCATGGAAACATGATATTCTATAATCCTGGCTTTAGGACACAGCAAGTCTTCAAAAAGAGTTCATGCTCTCATTCTCACACACACACACACACACACACACACACACACGCACGCACGCACTTCAGAGAGACTTTGGTTGTCAGCAGAGTCATGAGGGCTATGATGATGGATGTGCTGCATCTCTTCCTCCAGACAGTCTTCTCTGTGGAGTGGACACAGAGACATCGAAGGTCGCGGGTCACCACACATTTTAGCCCCTATTTTACCTTGAATGCGTGTGTGTGTGTGTGTGTTTGTGTGTGTGCGTGTGTTTGTGAGCGTTCTCATCCTGGCCTAAGTCCCGCCTCCCTACCTCAGACTGGCGCTGAAGGAGGATACTGCGGTCTCGTCCTCCCTTCCCATCTGCCCCGGCACTGCCACCACATCCCCCCCAAGCTTGCGGCCCTGACAGGCCGGGTTGCCACGGTGATGGATGACCGTGCGCGCGGTTCTGGTGTCACAATCCTACACCTTTTCTGCCTGCCACGTGGGTCCACCGGCCCAGACTTCCTTTCGGGTAAGCCGCACTGCTCTCTCTCATTTTCTCTTCTTTTGCTTGTATGTCCTGTTGCCTGACATCCCTGTTTCTTCTTTTTATTTTTTAGCTCACAAGTGGGACGAAAACTCAGAGAAGAATCGCAAAATTCTCCCCAAATTCGACCAAGCAAACTTTCATTCTTCTTTTTCCTTCCACTTTCATTCTTTTATGTTTTGGCACCCTTGCATTGGTATCAAAAAAATGAGCTGTGTTTCCAAATGGGTAGGTTGATGGTTTAAAGACCTTGAAAAGAGACAAGAAGAAACATCTTGTAAAAACACGGCATCGAGAAGATTTTTGTTAACAAGCCTGTCAAATTTAAGTGATTCAAAAAAAAAAAATGGAAGCTGCCTTCCAGTTTTAGAATATGACTATGACTGTAATCAGCCAATTAGTCCGTTCTTTATTGGAAAGCAACATCTTCCGCTACCAGGGACTCGTTAGCGTCTTCTAATGAGCCTTTAGCTTGCCACCAGAAGCCCCGTCAAGCATTATTAATTAAGAGGCCGTTTTTGTGCAGGCCTCCTAATCTGAACACATTGACATGTATCTGTAAAACGTATGAAGCACCCCGCTGCTAATTCAGCCGCACGTTCAATATGGCTAAGACACGTTTGTTGTTGTTTTCCACGAGATCTATCTGCAATATGTAATAATAAGTCACGCTGCGGCGGCGCGCTGTAAATGTGTTTGGGCTGCTTTTAAAAATCACATCTTCCTAACTGGATTTATCACACTATTAACGTGTCGGTGGGAACAAGGCACATTGAATCGCTTATTTTATATGAGGAAAGCAGAGGGAGCATATTTAGCACTCGATCAGTACGCCGTAGAAATCCATGTTGGCGCATCAGCGAATGAGTGGGGAAAAAAACCCACAATGTGACAGGTCGCTTTAATTGGTGCACAAATTCCCTCAGCGCTTACATGAACAAAGTGATGGTGGTGGGGTGAAAGGCACAAGCTGTCAAATTAAAAAGAAAATAATAATAATGTTAAACACAAATAGGGGACAAGTGATCCCGCATATCAGCCCACAGATCAACACAGATGTAAATATTTGCCTGAGGTGTCACCTCATGGAACAAAGATCATTTAAACTTGCAGTAGAATGCACTGAACGGATAAAATAATTGGAAAACTTACTTTTGAATTGTTCATAAACTAACACGATATATGTGTGAATGTCAATATGGGTCACCATGTGGAGCTTTGAATTTTTCCTTCATGATTTGCTGAAAAACTCACATATACAGTTTTATAATCAGGCCAAATCCATGTCCAATGTATATTGCTTCGCTCTCTTAGAACTTTTAGGCCAAGAAATTAGATTTATAATGTCAGGCCATAGCTTTGTCTAATCAAAAAAAAAGTACTTTGCCACCATCTTGTGGTATCTCTTGGTAATCGCATGGGCATCAAGTCCACTGTAGTTTCGTCCCTGGAGTTCCAACTATCAAGTGTTCAACCAATCAGATCATTGATTATCTGCAGGGGTGTACGTAAGCGGTGTGTAGTTGCGTCAAAAGAACGCGTCTCTGTCGATCGATTAGCCAGTCCCACGTTGATCGCGTTAACTCCTAGTCTGTTTTTGAATCAATTTATGACCCCTCCATGCATTTTATCTCTTGAAAACTTTTCTATTCGACTGACACCTCAGCCATGTTACAAAGCAGTGTAAACAATTTTAATTAGTGAATAACGGGATGGAGCGGTTTAATCTTATAGAGAAACTTCCAGATGTTCCCCGCGGCAGATTGGCGTCAAGTATTCCGACTGTATGGAAATTCCGCCTAACAGCAGTCAAGACCTCGGCTTATCTCCGATGCACAACTGTGTAAGGCACCTGGGACTCTTTCACAACCACCCGTCTCCCTCCTCCCTTCTTGCGCTCTCACAGCACAAGCGTGACTGATTCCGTCTCATCGTTGGCGCAGTGAGAATGCCGTCGACACTTCGGCGACAGCAAGGGAAGACAAACTAGGAGCAACAATGGCAGACGACAAACGGTGGTGGTACAGTGGTTCTGACATTGTTTGCAATGACGGCAGTGAACGTAGGAGTCAAATTCACAACAGGATGTGTTGACTGCTTGGAGTCAGAGGAGACACTGGGACTGGAGGCTAAGCTGCTTTTCATCGTGAAATGACACCCAGTCGGGTGCAGACTTCCACCTGGGAAGCCCTAAGTTGGATCATTACTAACCCGCCTCTTGCACAGCAGTATTCATTAAAGATGCATGCATTATGCCCTGCAAAATTAAGGACACTGATGTCGTCTACTTTCTAATAAATTTCTACAAGAACTAGGGAGAATGAAGAAAATGATAAGCTGTACAAGAATACAGTAACAAATGTTATAAGAGCACAAAAAATGAGCTATTACAGTAAATCAACAGAGAAGTTTAAATATGTAAAGGACCTGGAAGATGATGAATCATATAAGCCAGAACATATGTCATTCAATGGAATATCCGACTTATTTTATAAATAGCGGTGATATTAAAATAAACAAGTTAGATGAAATTGCTGATGAATGTTGTGGATGTTGGCATATCGTTGGCGAGGGGAATTATTGATTACGGTAATAAAAAAGAGAAGTTCAAGAACTTTATTAGGATAACAGGCTATCAGAGTTGGCTTGTTCATGTGTAACCAGAATGTTTCCTTGGCTCACAGAAAAACAATTTAAGGACAGTAAACTGACAAGCGGGCAGTCAGAAAGATGGAGATGAACTTTTGGACAAAAGACATCAAGAAACAATCACAAGCACCACAATGGGAATGTATGAACGACACAAAAGAAAGGCTGACAAGCCAAGTGTGCCAGCCTGATATTATTGGCATTGTGTACTGCGGTACGATGATGACAGCCACTGTTTGAGCCCTACAAGCTCTCGCACCCCCACCTATGTCTGCACAATAGCCATCTGATGACTGAGTGATTGGAGGAGGAATGAAGTGAAATGCAAAAGAATAACAAAAAAAAAAAAAGAAAAACATCTGGTGATGGAGGAGAAAAGGGCGATGAGGAGGCGTGAAGAACACAGCCTTGATGCAGCTGCAATTAAGGCGGCCATTTTGTTCCTTGAATATGGTAATTTGCCCCTTTTGTGTGAGGGCTTGATTGGCCTTTGCAGTGCGCATCACGCCGGCCTGGAAGTTTCCGTCATTGCAGTGAGATAAAAAAAAAAATCTCAATTTTTTGCAGCTATACTTCACATGCATTACTGACATAGTTCAGTTAGCAAGCACCAGAGAGCTTTAAATTATATATCACACATGACCTTTAAATACAAGAGAAGAAATTTAGACCTTTATTAGGGTCAGTCATAGCTAGCTGTGACGTCGCTAAAGATAAATAATAATGTTTAATCACACACATCATGATCATCTCAGTCCCAGGCAGACAAAATCGGACACAAAATCACTCCCATGGGAAGCGTCATTACATTGCATTGACGCACCTGAAATGGTTTTAAAAAAGCGGGGTGAATACAAATGGCCAGTACAGTATAGAGTCCAGACAGTTAAACCAATTGAAAATATTTTACAGGACACAAGCCTACACTACTTTCGTTATTGTATTTAGGCGCTGATATGGACAGCTAGGGGTCCTTTATGGACGATTGTTTCAAAGTGTCAAAATCTTTTTTTAACTATTTTTTCACTATATAGAAAGTGCGTTTTTGAGAGCTCGTTACATCTGTTTCAAACCAATTAGATAATATTGTACTGTACATAAGCATACACTACTTTTGTTATTTTATTTAGGCGCTGTTATGGACAGCTTGGGGTCCTTTATGGACGATTGTTACAAAGTGGGGCTGGAAAACCCTGTTAAAACTTTATAATAGAGAGTGCGTTTTTTAGAGGTGGGTACCTGACACACGACTGTTTTAAAAATACTGTCTTATTGAGGTCTGTTTTCTGTATTTTAACAATAGGTGTTGCAATGACTATGTGCACTGCTGTGCTTTGCCATTTCAGTGCCAACTAAAACCAGTTGATTAACTGCTTTTATATGGATTCCTATTTTTTTCTGTTGAATCTGCAGCAATGCTGAAATACGTTAAATTAAGACACATTGATTCAATGAACCAAATATTCAGCTTCACCAGTCCCCACCACATGTACACATTCACAGCCGGCAAATTGGGCCTGTGAAGTAGACCACTCCATTCTGACGCAGAGACAAGTGCAGATTGCTATTGGCAATGGTGGATGTAAGGTGATCAGTAGCAAGTAGCTAAATTGTCAATGTAAGGAAGTTCAAAATAAAGGGCTCCAATTTCGTGACCAGTGCAAGTCTTGCGTGAGATTCGCTCTAAATCTGAGCAGGGGGAGGCAAGTCTTTGTCTTGGTGTTTTCACAGATGTACGCAGCTTGGCTCCTCGCATTGCTTTTAAAATCAGTGAACAAGGGAGGCGCACAGTTCTTGACATGGCAAGAGAAACTGATTACATATGTCTACAGTCACCATTATATGTAAATTAATAGCTGTCACGACAAACAAATGTGCCAGTTTGACCCTGATGTACTCGATCAAGTAGGAGCGAATATGATTAAAATCAATAACTTCCTTGCCCTGACACAGAATAACAAGTGATCTTGTCAATGGAGCTAAGCATGTAGCTGCGAAAAAGCCACATATGTCCCTTGATAGAGAGCTAAAACAGTGATTTGAGAGCTAAAACAGAGCCGAGGGAGGACAGTTCTATTTGACTTCGTGGAGTGACACTTAATCCACACTGAACCGACAACTCAGCATTTTTCATTTCTTGTTGAGGGCGCACAAAAAGTCAGCAATTATAAAGTAATGAGGAACAAGCTAAGACCTACTCAGCAGGATTGGAGCAGACACATAAATGCCAGGTGATGGAGGAATGATTGTAAAATAATGAGGCAATTCCCAGCGACTACTTATCACCAGGGGTGTGCAAAACGAGTCTAAATCTTGTTTATATACAAGCATGAAAGATTGATTAGTAAGTTTTAGTGTTAGTTTTGTTTTGTTGTTTTGTGTGTGTGGTTAAGAGGAATGTCCCAGATAGTCGATTCCCAGATTTATGAGCATGTCATTTCTGAAAGCTTCACTTGATGGTAACAATTTGTACGACATCTGCTAGTTCTCAGGCGGCCTTTTAGCACTTAGCCTGCTTAATGGTTTGCATTATGAACATAAATGTGAGCTACTTTGCCTCAATCAGATGTCTTAAAACTTGCTTGGGTTACCTGGAGCGCTTGTGTGCACAGGCTAATAACACGTAATTGGTGCTTATGTGTAATGTTCGGGTCAAGTGTGTTATAGTCGTTCGACTGCCGACTCTCAGAGCTCTGAGGTAGACATTCTTCCCGCTGGGCCACCGTGCAAACGACGAGGCCACGTGGTTCTCATAGCCTTGAGTATAATGGAATGAGTCACGTCCAAAAACCTTTATTAAATAGGCGGACAAGTAACATTGTAAGATTTTAACCATGGTGCTAAGCAAACCACTGTTAATGGTAATATGGAAAAACACATCGATCCATTTTCTATACCGCTTATTCGGTTCAGGATCCTGGCTGAGCTGGAGTCTATCCCAAGTGACTTGGGGACGAAAGGAGGACCACACCCTAGAATGGTCAGCGGTCAAGACATAAGGAGACTTACCGAAACAGACTCACACCATCAATGAGTGCCTACAGACCCCATGATGCCTGTCAGGCATGTTTGGTAAGTGGACCACGGCACTATCAGTGTAAAACACCAAAGTTTGTAAAGTTCTCCTTTTTAAAGCTATATAACAAAGCCAGTTTGGGGGGGGGGGGGGGTTCAACAACCAC